TAGTACTACCCCCCAACTTTATGGATGATTTTATGGATTTAATTTTACATATTATACTTGAATAAATACGGTAAATCACATCCTGTTTTGAGGGGGCAGGGCCAAAGTGATGTCACCAAATGACCATGTGAATGTAATGAATTAAATTACAAAATTATCTGATAAGTCATGAAAAACCAGGAGAAACTGTCTTAAGAGGGCCAAAAACCTCTCAACCATCAAAAATCACGTGTAATAGGGCCAAAACACCTTTAAAACAGCCTAAAACTGAAAAAACAAATAACAAAACTATAACCGATTGGTCGGAAACCCCTCAAAAGCAGCTAAAAAATTGTAAATAAAATTAAAAAATACACAATCAATTGGTAGAAAACCCAAACAGCCTAAAACTGAAAAAAAAAAAAAACCACACACATAACCGATTGGTAAGAGATATCTAAATGTGGCAAAAAAAAAATCATAAGTGATTGGTAGAAAACCCCTCAAAAGGGTCTAAAACTGAAAAAACAAAAACGTAAAAAAATATAACCAATTGGTAAGAAACCCTCAAAAGCATCTAAAGCTGAAAAAAAATCACATAACCGATTGATAGGAAACCCCTCAAATGGGTCTAAAACTGAAAAAAATCATAACCAATTGGTAAGAAACCTCTAAAAAGCATCTAAAACTGGAAAAAATACATAACTGAATGGTTGGAAACCCTTAAAAATCACCAAAAACCATCTAAAACTCGGGGTCTAGGAGGGTTAAAAAACACTCAAAACTGATATTCAAAATGGCCGACATGTCATTTTGTGTTTTGAGTCATCTCAGTTTCATGAACAGTGGTCACTGATGACACACACCAAATTTGGTGCAGATTTGATGATGTGTCAGCGAGCAATAATTGTTTATCTATTCTAGGTGGCGCTGTGGAGTCAAACTCCAATGTTATCCTATAGGCCTCTTCAGAGGTTATCAAAGATTATAGATTTCCAGTTTGGAGCAAATCGAATCGTGCATGTGTGATTCAGAGCCAACGGAGAGGCATCATCATTCACCACTTGGTCATGCCCACAAAATTCAGCCGATAGTCCTGGAAAGTAGGAAGTTGTTTGTAAAGAAAGTTTTTTAAAGCCAGACTGGTTTCACTCTAGATTACATGACCTGGAGGGTGGCAGTTGAAACCGGTTTTAAAGCAATCCAATTGGGTTAGTTTTTTGCAAATTACTTCTCCATGATAATGGTGAGTGTAAAGAAAAGTAATAGCACACATCTCAAAACTGAGCTGATCATTTTGATGTAACTTTAATGGGGGTACGACCTTTGGTTCAGGCCGCATTAACGGTGAAAGAATGAATAAAAATGAATAGATAATAAAGAGTCTGGTTTATGAGTGGATTTTAATAGTTTGTCATTCGCATGACAGTCCTAATTAACAAACATAATTTGGTGCAACCCCAGGTTGTCACAACTTAAATTCTGAACTATTTAAGAACTGCTAAAGGAAGCACCGATTTGTTCATGGAACTGTGTTTTAAATAAGCTGTGGACAAATACAGCATCAGAACAGTCAACATTTTTAATTTTGATTTTGAAAACCATACACCAGTTCTTGGCCCCCCCAGAGTGCGGTTTGTATGCTTAAAAACAATGTTAATAACATTGAACCCTAACTGAAACACAAATTTGTGTTTGCTAAGGTTGATTAGCTGTAAAAGATGATCATTCACATTTCAAAATAGCCAGTGAATAATATAGGAGGTGTTTCTTAAAGGTAGACATTTCATGCTTTTAAATCCTTCCTTTTCACATTTAAATCATTCAGTTGGGGTCTTTTTAAAGTGGAACTACAATGGTCATGGTCTGAATTCTTCCTTATTATAACCTTTCCAGCCCTTCTTTGTCTGGTGTGTGTCTCAAAGTGTCTTGTTTTGTTACAGTTCCTTTAAGGTGCCTTAAGCTCTGCCCCCTCCTGCTTCCAGACCAGTCCACTCCTGTTTGAGAGAGGGGGTTGATTTTTCTAGCTGCAAAAATGTTTTATTTACAATTTAAAGATGTAAATAAGAGAAGACTTGTCTGTCCAGCCTCTGAACCAAAACCAGAGTCTGACCCAGAACCACAGGAGAAATAAGATGAGGAAATTGTAGTTGGTAAGTCCAGACCTCAGTTGGCAATTCCATTGCAGGTAATTTGATGTAATAATTCAGAAAATGTCATTGAAAACAGAGAAAAGTGAACGGGCTGAAAAATCTGATCCCAACAGAATATAAAGATATTTTTGTAGCTCCAGGAGAGACTAAACTCAACTTCTCTGCCTCTTAGAGACTCTAAGTTCACAATAAAATGTATTTAATGATTAAAAAACAAATTTTGCATATGTCCCGTTTAAGCAAACTTAGGCAAACAAAATAAATATTCATGACATCCTTTCAAATTAACCATATTTATGATAGGACAATCTGTATACTTTACCAGAATGTAATAAAGTTTGTATCCTCAAAGCTTAACTGGGTTGTTTTAAAGAACTACTAGCATGCTGATTAGCATCTCTACAAGTTCCCTAAGAGTCAAATGTCTTGACAAACCTGACTTTAGTTTGTCTCTTGAATTCTGGTTTTCTTCAAAAAGGATTTAAAACGTTTCAAGAGTTTAGATACCTTGTTATCTTGCTGTAGTTTGCAATGATACATGATGATCAAGCATGTCAGGGCCTCTGTGTTATCACTAAAAGAATCCAGTCAGACATTGTTTTAAGGCTGAAAACAACATGTTAGACTGCAGTTAAAATCTTTCTGTTCTAACTGACATCTTTACTTCTGCCTCTGATTAGAGAACACAAGTCCCAGCATCTATTTCCAGCTTCTTTGTGCCCGCCTGTCTGGCTGTGAGTGTGTGTAGGAGGTTTCTTCATGAATGGATAAGAGGGAGACTTGAAAGAGCTCASTTTGTAAGTATAGCTCCGTGATAATGAGATTAACAAACAATAACGAGGATAAAGAAGCATTAAATACATTTATCTGTGTTGTGGCTTGCTGGCTTCCAATACAGACAGAGGGGACTTTAGATCCTTTGTAATATGCATCTCAGTCTTTTTTTTTTACATTGTATAGATGGGGGAAACATCAACCACAGTAAAAAACAAACCATATCCTGTGATTACGAGAACAACCAATATGGCCACAGACCTCCACCGCTACTTCCAGGGATCATCGGCTGAACCAAGCAACCAAGAGGCTGGTSGAGTTTTGCTGACAACAAGCCAAATAGAGGGTCCCACCATGAAAATCCTTCTATTGTACAGACTGCACCGCAGAAACTCAACTGGTAGATCTCACAGAAAAAATTACACAGATTCACTGAACACACATGCACATAGATCTTATCGGTCTTGTCAGAGAGTTATTTATCTCCTGACACTTCAGAGTCTAATTACATAGTCTCAATCCTGTAGATGCATATAAAAATCAATGGGAATCTGTTTTGTTGGCGRAGTATGTGAACGATTCTGTTGTAAAATACAGGACTGTGTTTTTCCAGTGTCTTTGACGGTTCAGATAAACTTTAACTGTGCCCTGTGAGGTGTCTATTTACTGTTTAGTCTGCAGCCTCTGATGGTTCAGGCCTGGCCAGCATCCAGTCTTCTAGTTTCGTAGTGGGGGGGCGGTGTATGAGTGCATGCTCAGACACTATCATAAATCTCTCACTGGAGGTTTTGTAAATGTTGTGTTGGAACATCAAAAGACCTGCAGTACAAAAAAAAAAAAAACCCACCCTTGTGGCCACAAACATTTATTTTTTCTGAAAAAGCAAAGACGTACTGTAAGTCATTTTCTGATTTCTGAGAAAATGCAGCTGATTAAAATCAGCTACTCAACGAAATGTTGCACAAAGCTGAACTACCAACAATTAAAGTCACATTTCAGAAAGTTTTGGAAGTTCAGGTAAATTCAGTTTATTTCTATGGCGCCCACAACAATTGTTGTCTCAGGGCACTGTAAACAACAACAACAACAACAACAACAACAACAACAACAACAACAACAACAACAACAACAACAACAACAACAACAACAAC